TAAGCTCCAGGTATTGCATTGGCTCTGCTTTGGGTAGCCATCTCTCGGCCCCTCTCCGTGACAGCGATGTCTTTCAGTCGCGCTGATGCACCCTCCCACAGTCGGTGAACTGCGGTTCCTGTGGGGTAGCAGCTTGTACGTTTCACCCATTAGCATCCCGCTGCCACTGAGCAGCCGCGGCCAATGTGTCGTGTAACTAGCTCGCTAGTAGGTCAGATCAGACCACTGCGGTTCAAAGTGCGAAAAAAGGATCCACCGAGCCGTGGGTCACTTAATGAGCTCACCAACTGGGCGCTCACCGTGGAGCACCCCGTGTGTCCCTTGTGCAAGAAGACGCTCACCAGCCTGGTGTAGGATAAATGCTAAAGCGGACTGAGGAAAAACCTATGCGAGATGCATCCATGGTCAAACCAAGGAGCATGTGTGGGGCAAATGTTTCCATTCGTGATCTACCCCAGTGCGCTGGAAATGAAAACATCAGACCGCCTGCAGATTTGATTACCATGTCTGATTATTGATTCATATGATTGATGACTGATTTGATTGATAACATTTGATGCGATTATGTATTGGTGAATATGCACTCCAACGTGATCGCCACTCCTTATGCGGTTAGCTAAGCAACTGCCTTGTATATATTTGAGTGGTTATGAATTTTGTGTTATCATGCAAATACTATTTTGGAATTCTGGCAACTTCATAACCATTGACGATTTTGCCGAGAATGGGGTTAATTCCCTCTTTGGAGCTTTTGAGCGCATCCCCCTTAAGGCCCTCGATTGAAGCCTGCTGGGTGATTATGATGATCTTCAAGGCGGTTGCCCAAAGGGGTGACATCACGTTGACGTTGAGCGATGGCACAAGGCTGGCGGGAGCCATGCAGCATGGAACAACAAGGAGCACTTGAGGCCGGTTTCTAAAGCCTATGATCTTCTCAGCGCATACAAGCAGCTGCCCCTTCATCTGAAGGAACAGCCCAAAGCTGTCCATAACCTTCGTTTGCAAGACTCTTCCCTTCGGAGTCGAAGCCAGCGTCCTTATAGGATCGCCCCGCTTTTGCAGCGTGTGCTTTGGACCTGCACGTTATGTGTAGATCGTACTATGACGATTTCCCCGCGGTCTCTCAGGTATTCTTGTCGGGGGCACAGACAACACAGTGCTTGCCCTGATGGATTTGCAGTCCTCTTGTCCGACAAGAAGCAGCCTTTCAGTACCCGCGCAGGAACCCTAGGCGTCGTTCTCGATAGTTCGGATCCTTGGTTTGATGTAATCAAGGTTTCCAGCAAACCCACGCTGGCGGCCGCTTTGTCGGAAGCTCTTGAAAAGATTCTTTGTGCAGGGGAAGTGTGCCCGCGCGAGCTGCCATCATTGTTTGGCTGGCTCCAATGCTCAAAATCCCAGTTGCTTCGGCGTACGGGCAAGCTGGCCCTTCCAGATGTGCGTAGCTTGCACGCCAGCCGTCAGCCCAAAGTGAAACTTGACGGGTCACAGGTCCGGGCATTCATTATCCTTCGGGCGCGACTCCTTGCTGGCCGGCCACGGGAGATCAGCGCGGTCCCTGCCAGCAAACCGCGCTGGTGCTTACTGTCGAGGCCTGCCAGCCTAAGGGATCGTCTTTCCATGCCACGTTTGGGGGTCCTCATCGTGCCTGGGTCTCCTATGATTGTTAGGACTCTTGGGGCTGTGGTATCTTCAAGCGTTGTTTCGTGTTGGGCCGGGGGCCGCAAACATGTTATCGGTCAGACCGAGCTGTATGCCGTTGTTCTTGCGAGGATTCTCTGAACAAGTTCTTGGCAGGGCACCGTTGCTTTTTCTTCATAGATCACACCGGTGTTCTTAGCGCGGCTATCAACGGCTCATCGGCTGACAAGTCGTGGCGCGAGCTGTTGTTCCGACTAGAAGTTGCGGACGAGGCAAACCCGTGCTGGCCTTGGTTCCATAGCACTTACATGGTGGAGAAGCCATCATGCTTCGTTACAGGTGAGCCGCTTGAGAGCATTTGATCCCGGGCGAGTGAGAAAGGGGGAAAAGTTGAGGGCCAGTGCTCAATGCACTCTCCGATGGTGCTGCTCTCGCTTTCAGTGAGTATGCAGATGTGTGCTCCTCTTTTAGTGGATTCCGAACCTTTACAACCACTGTGAGTGGATACTTCTTTCCCCTGGTACGCTGTTCGCCGTGATCCGTAAACAGAGTGACGCTGCATTTGTGATTGAGTTTGATTGTTGTGCTGCAATTTTGATGTTACATTTGCGGAATTGAATATCTATATTGGCTGAGTGAGTTTTGCTTATTTTGATATGGATGGCAGGAACTATAAGTTGCACGTGCATTTGTTATGTCAGTGTCGCAGCAGTCCAAGCTTGCAGTGCCAGTACATGTTCGATTGCGGTGGATTTTGTAAGCTAAAAAGTTTTTCTGCAGGGCATACGGCTCCTTCCTTAAACCCGAAACCTTGAACCCTCACCCCTAGGCCTTAAACCCTAAACTTTATAAACCTTACTCCTGAACCTTTAAGCCCTTGACCTTAAACCACCCCCTAAACCGGTTGGCCCTCGTAAGCCTCATGCCAGAGCCCCCAAAATGGGGGGTTGGAGGCCCCAAATTTGTTTCGTGGAAATTTGTGCCTGCTGATGCTAATCTAAGAACCCTGAACCCTAAGAACCCTAGACCCTAAGAACCCGAAACTTTCAAACCCCGAAAAACCCCTAAACCTCACAAACCCGAAGAACCCTAAACCCTAAGAACCCTACAGCCTGAGCTTGAAGCCTGAAATTCAAAACATTTAAGACACAACCCTGAACCTTAAGAACCCTAGACCTTAAGAACCCCAAACCCTAAAAGTTCCAAACGTTAAACCCTAAACCTTAGAGAACCAACGGTCCCTAAACCCGACGAATCCTAAAACCTAACCTCAACGCCTAAAACCCAAATCAATAAAGACACCACAAGTAAACCCTAGACCCCAAAAACCAAAATTCCAAAACCCTAAACCCTAAGAGCCCTACACCCTAAGAACTTTAAACCCAAAAAAACCCAAGGCCTAAGCTTGAAGCTTGACACCCAAAACATGAAACACACAAAAAACCTTAAATCATGAAAGCCCGGAATCCTTGCAACCCTAAAAAGCCAAAACTTAAAGACCCTAAAGCCTGTAAACCTTAAACGCTGAGGACCCTTGAAGCCCTATAGCCTTAAACTCTTTGCCCTGGAGAAGTCACAAGTGATACTAAAGTTCTAAACCCAAACAGCCGCGCAAACCCTAGCAGGCCCCACACACCCCTTAGCTCCAAACAGCCCCGCGCCCTGCCTGAGCCGTAAGAACCGTTGTTTTCTCGTCCCAAGTGATTTCATGTCCCAAGTGATTTTGTTTTTCTCGCCCTGAGTGATTTCTGACCCTTTCCAGTCCCCGCTACCTCTGTTCCGCTTCGAAAATATGCAGCATCATTAAGCAGTTCAGTTCTGGGACACCCTTGGCAAGAAATCATATCCCTCGGAAAGAAATTATATCACAAGCGCTATGAGGGTCAGAGTTTACAACACCCTAGGGAGAGTTTAGCTGCGTCATAAAACCTTGGGGAGCCCTTAAGGAGTCATGGGAAAAACCTTGGGAAGCAATCATGGGAAGAAAATGTGTTATGAGCGCTATGAGGGCTTTGAGGGGCAGAGCTTCCAACACCCATTCGGTGGCTTCTTCTTGTGAGGGTTTCAAAGCTTGGTCCTTGAAAGTTGACGCTGCAGTTTTGCATCATGCAGCATGCAAAAGGGATGTTTCCACGCAACGTTTAAGAATTGAGCATTAATTATAGATTAACGTTTTCCTGATGTTGTTGTCGTTTCTTCGTGAAAATCCAAGAATCCTACCTGCATGGTATGCATGAACTTAGTACCGCAGCCAGTTGCCCTGCCATGTTGCGTTTCAATCCAGGCCAACGTCCAGCACGGTAAGTTTTGGTCTACGCGATTGCGTCCCCGTGGAAAAAGTGTAGCCTTGGCTGTCGGGGTGGCCAGTCTTGCACGCCTCAACATCATACAACGTCGATTCTCAACGACAATGGCGTCTGCTGGCAGAAAGGCCGTGGAAACTACCTGTGAAGGTGAGCTGTTCTTGTACGACCAGATGTTGGGCTATGCAGGCTTCGAGGCCCGCGGTGTCCATGGGCCCTCATCGAGTTCCAAAGCTGTGGTCTGCATCGGAGGCTTAACCGACGGCTTGTTAAGCTTGCGATACTTCCCGGCATTGGCTGAAGAACTCCAGAAAGTTGGTTGGCGAACTTTTCAACCTGTTCTCCAAAGCAGCTACAGGGGCTGGGGGTTTGCAAGTCTTGATGATGATGTGGCAGGAATCGACAAGTTTCTATCCTTCTTACAATCCAACCGCGGGATTACGGAAGTTGTTCTGCTTGGGTCATCAACTGGGTGTCAAGATGCTGTTCATTATCTCAAAGCTGGCAAGCATTCATCGTTAATCCACGGAATTGTGCTCCAAGCGCCTGTCAGTGACCGTGAAGCGTTGACAGTTGAAAATGATAGCGGCGACCAGGTACAATCCCTACGTGAGTATGGAGCAACTGGGTTATTGTTCAATAACTTGAATAGCTACAGTACCCGGTACTCATTATTTTTTTACAGAACAGAGAATTTCTTCAATATGGCAATTCACTTGATTGAAGTTTCTTGGCAGCAACCTAGGACATGGCTCGCAAGATGATCTCTGAGGGGCGTGGAGAAGAGATACTACCCCGAGCTGCTTGTCAAATATTTGGACCTCCGGATGTGATTACCGCATATCGCTTCGACTCCTTGACTAGACGCTTGGCGGACGACGACATGTTCTCTTCAGACTTTTCAGAGGACGAGTTGAAACAGAAGCTGGGACATGTACATGTCCCTGCTTTGCTTGTAGCCTCAGCTGATGACGAGTACGTGCCCCGGACGGTGGATGCCTCAGCACTGTGTCTTCGCATGGCAGAAGCAATGGCAGCTGGCGTAGCCGAAGCCGCGGAATGTTTGGTGCTTGAGCAGGGCGGCCATGGAGTGCGTGGGACCCAGGCAGAGGCATACTTCGTAGAAGGGGTTGTGAAGTTCATCAGCAAACTGAATGCGGATGCTGATGGCCCATGTCTTTCGCCGCTGACCTGGGAAGTGCGCTTGGCTGGTGCTCTGCGAGATCGGGCAGCGTCTCTACCAGCAGGCCAGCCGCTTCTGGTGGCACTTACGGGCATGCCAGGCTCTGGAAAAAGCAGAACCTCTCAGATCTTATTGCGACTTCTGCAGCCCGACTGCTTCGTGCTGCAAATGGATGGGTTCCACACAAAGATGGCGGATCTGAAATGCAGACCAGATGCGGAGAGCACAATTAACAGGCGAGGTGCTCCGGATACATTTGATGTTGCGCCTCTGAGGGAGGCACTTCAGATGATCAGGTCTGGTCCCTCCAAAGTCAAACTGCCTTGTTTTGATCATGCTGCCCGACTGCATCCGTTAACATGCTGTTGCTTAAGCCGATGTGATCACACCGTGGATTGTTGCTTTTAGGGCCCTCGTTGCCACAAACCATATAGTATACTGGGGATACATTGGGATGATGGAAATGAAAATGGAAACTACTACAGGGTTTAGGGTTTGGGGGTTTGGGGTAAAACCCTATACATGGTAGTTTCCATTTTCTTTTCCATTATCCCAATATAACCCCAATATACTAAACTATGGTCTAGGGTTTGCGGGTTTAGGGGTTGACCTGCTTACGTCAAGGCAAAGGGAGATCCTGTGGAAGATGCGATGTCTTTCGATCGGGACCTTCACCGCGTAGTCGTGGTGGAGGGCTTGTATCTCCTACACAGGGAAGATGGGTGGCCAAGCTGCAAAAAAACACTGCTATAGGGACTGTATAGGGATATATAGGGATTATGTAGGGGCTATAGGGTATAATATTGGGGTTATATGGGAACAATGGAAAAAAACATGGAAGCTACGAGAGAGAGAGAGAGAGAGAGATACATATATATATATATATGTAGCACCGCTGATGTCTGCTATACACCGCTGAGTCCGGAATTTCCCTGAGATAGTTTTTAGTTTTCTGTCCTTCAGAATCCTGACGCTCAGCTGAATTCACATTTCTGATGTTCCAGGGAAAGTAGCTGAGCAGGCACACTCTCTCTAGTCCTATCATGATGAAAAAGTGAAGATGTTTCTTTTTTGAATTCAGAAGCTGGGAGTAGCCAGAGGCTTCAACAGCTGAGGTGGCATGACATCCCTGATTTGTTCGACTACAAACTCTACTTGGATGCTGATATTGAGGCAGGCTGACTCATGCTCAGGGTTTAGTTTCCCTAACGTAAACAGCTTTGTATAATCTCCAATAATACAGTAACCCCCAACCCTGGACCCTAAACCCTAAACCCTAACGGCAATGATACAGAAAGGTTGAGTTACAGCCCTGCTGCGACCGTTGCTCCAAGGAGTGCATTGACCGGGTGAAGGAGCGCAACAAGGTCATTCCCGGTGCTCGCCCCAGAAGACCTGGCGTTTCAGCTTAGGCTTTACGGTGTAGGGTTTAGGGAGAATAATCGTCTCACCTTCAACTGTTCCTCCCACCCCTTCAATGATAATCATTCCCATTTTAATGCGCTGTGTTATATGGGGAAGATATCTTGTTTCTTTTTGGGTTCTTTATTATCCCCAAGCGCTGAACCCTAAACCCGAAACCCTCAACCCTAAATTGAATCCTAAACCCCAAACCCTAGACCCTAATTCCTAAACCCTAAGCCCTAAACCTATATAACCGCATTATAGTAGTTTCCATTTTCTTTTCCATTATCCCAATATAAAGGTGAAACCCAAATCCTAAACCCTAAACCCTCATCTCTAAACACTAGTTGGAAGCCAGCGCTGAGGCTACACTCCGCAGGAAATCGAGCAGCGTTGCGAGGAGGTAGACAGAGCAAATGCTGAGGCCCTTCTTCGTAATGTAGAAGCCCGAGTCTATAGGGTTTAGGGTTTAGGCTTCAGGGTTTAGGGTTTCGGGTTTAATTAGGGTTTAGGGGTATATGGAGGTACATGGCTACACAGGGTTTAGGGTTTGGAAAGTTTGGAATATGGAGACTCACA